GACACCAAAAACCACCAACACTTGAGGGCATCAGCCACCGGCAGCGAGTGTGAGGGGAGAAAGGCCTCCATACTCTGGAGTGCCTGGGATGTTCCCAGAGAGGTGGAGTCGAAGACCTGACCTGACATATAGACACAGACGAACAGGCGCACACCGACACAAATGTGCGGCAGTTTCACCCTCATGCACACATATACAAATACTCAGCACTCAACCAACGTAAAGACAGACAAAAATGGACACATTACATGCAATCACACTCCTCAAACATACTCTAAACCCCAGGTCCAGGTACCCTCACACCCAGAGGGGGAAACCGTACCTAGACCCAGGAGATGTTACCCTTTCCCCTGGGGTGGAGACAAGCAGACTGTCCCCAGCTAGTAGTAGTAGTAGGGCATGGTGCTTCCTGCCAGAGCGCAGCAGGTGTCAGTACGGCCCCTCCCGAGAACCCTCAATGTCTACATGCATTTAAAAAAAAACATGCCCAAACCCAAGGCTCTATATGTTTGTGTTATGGGAGTATGAGTAATGTGGATGTCTAAGTTATGGAATAAAATTGAGGCACTAGTGGCCAGAAAAGGGACAAAGGGGGAATGCCTCCCCTGCACTCTGGTGACACACCTGCACCCTAAGGCCCTGCATGTGTGGGTGGCATGTAGTGGAGCAGTTGGGGATGGGGAGAGAAGGAAGGGAGGAGCAAGCAGCCCCTCCCTGGGGCCAGCTCCCCCGCTGACCCCAGTAAGCACCCCCACCCTCCGGGACCCACCAAGGCAAGGAGGCCCAGGCCTATCCAGACCAGGGCCCACGGCAGCAGCACCACCAGGGCAGTCCACCCGACCCCACCGCAGAGGAAACTGTACTCACCCCATTATCCAATCATCTCCCAGACTACACAACACAATAGACACCCAGGTTAAGTTTATTCTCAAAAAGATTTCATAATTTCTTGAAGTAGTCTTCATTAATAGTTCTCCGGGCTTTTTTGAGGGACATTCAGAGCTATTGTTGAATTTTGGCTCACTTTAGATGACCCCACTGCTTCACTAATACTGTCTGGGCTCTGGGGAGGGCTATCTGCTATCGATAGTGTATTATTGTATTTTCTTTCTATTCAGGTTTTTGGCCGTGTGTTTGGGTGGATCAAAATGGTACTTTTCTTCATCCATGATTCCATCAATATTCACAAGATCTCCAACACCACTGGCTAAAATGCAGCACTAAACCATGACAGAGACACCACCTTGTTTTACAGATGTCTTCAGACTCTCGCTGTTGGACCTCTCGCGGCCTTCTCCCTGCACACTGACAATGATTTGAACCGAAAGTTTTGGATTCATCGCTCCATCAGACCTGATTTTCTGTTGCTCACTTAATTTGGTATACCTCAGCCTTCTTCACAGCCGCCCTTCCAACGAGATCATTTCTGTTGAGACTTCAGTGAACAAGACATGTATCAACTAAAGGGCCAGATGCTTCTCTCAGGTCCTGCGTCAGGTATTTTCTGGATTTCTTTTCCTATTTCTAAAGGAGTTCTAGATACTGTTCATCTGCTGGAGATAGTTTTTTTGCACACCATGCCAAAATATGCCAAGTTTTGACCATTGTAAAATTAAATTTTTGCACCAATAATGTGATTACCATATTGCTTTATCTTTGGCATTTTTAAGAGATTTGTTTAGTGACAGAGCGACAGTAACAAAGTGCCCAAAGATACGATTTAAAATGAGATCTTTACAAAGATGTTATGTGTAGACACAAGACTGGTTCATTCCTTGAGTTACATTTCTGATTGAATAAATGATAGGTCTGTTAAGTGGCTTGACAAAACGAAAAAATAACTTCCTGTAAAAATAGTCAGGTATAAAGACTGGACTGAACATGAGTGAAAAGCAGCCAGTGTCCAAATAAAAACCTAAAAGATCTTTAGACAACTATTGCTCAAAATCAAGTAAGGCTGGCTCTTTGGAAGTAATATATTTAAAAAAAGGTTGGTTGGCACAAAACATTTGCACAGTATTAAATAAACGACTTCAGTTTGGAGGTCAGTCAAATATCCCACAAAAATCGATCTGAAATGTTATAATGAAACACTGTTCATGAAACAAAGTCTGATAACTTTAATATAAAGACAAAAACAAACATTACCATTACCAGCATTTTGTCACTGATACAACAAACAGCAATGTGGAAAAGAAAAACCAAATATGTATATAAGGCAGTTCAAGAGAGCAGTAAGAATATTACTCACATGTAACCATATGAGGTAATGAATGAGTTTATAGGCTCAAGAGCAAAGGTATGTCCAGTCAATCAAACTGTTGATCAGACTTGTGTGCAATACCATATTTGTTCTGAAGTGGCATGCCACCGTAACAGTTTGTTCAAAACTTTCATGCAAAACTGGATTTTCCTGCTTTCATACGAGCATATCTGCACTAGAGGGGGAAAAGGTTCCTCCTCATTCATACTGAGAGTGAAAGAATTCTGAGTGTACGTCACAAAACATCTGTACTACGTCAGAGCCATGCAGGAATCTTGAAGTTTTGCGTATCCTCCAGCCACTCAGCACTGAGTATTCTCTATGAACGTAACAGCATTAATGGCTACATTTGTCACAATGACACAGCCTTCAACCCAAACTTATTTTAGATTGTGGCTTTTCACTCCTGAGCCTGAGAGTAATACGCATAACATGAAAATGACTCATTCACCACTCACACGAACTATGAACAATGTAAACAAGTTCAACTGAGCTGTGTACCTCCACAGAAATCTCATGTAATGGTCAAAAGCTGTCTTCAAAATACCAGAAAGCAAAGAAATAATTCATAAAACATACTTACAATTCTTTTCTAACTGCCAGCTTGTGTATCCTCAGGCTCTAACAGCACTTAGCTACAGACTGCCGACTTGGTTCTCCACCCACCTCCATCCACCCATAAACACACCCACCACTGCTAGTAAAGGGGCTGGCCCTTCTGGACAGCATACACCCATAAACTCAGGCCCTGTTAATAAAGCTCAAACCCTGGCGAAAAAAGCCCCAAATAATTAAACATATTAGAGTTAGATAAATGTGTTTCTTTCCTGCCAGAGTTACTTAATAATTTGTAAGGTACAGCAAATGATGATATCTTTATATTTTAAGTTGTTTGCCTTCATTTTAAATGGGTTATAGCTATTTATCACTGTTTTCTCCTTACTTATATACGATTATGCCGAAGTTGCTTGGTATGTTAAAGACTGAGACTGGTTAGAATTTGTTATTACATCTGTACATTGAAAAAACTGCAGAAAAAAGTAAGCATTTAAAGTAAATATCTAAAAAAAGAAAAGACAAAACCTTTCTCTATTAAACAAACCTCCTAGCCATTCATGTGAGTTTACGAGGTTAACTTAAATGCACCATAAAATTCCTGTTTTTACAGAAGCAGCTGTGGTGACTACCATACATGGTGCTGTACTCCGGAGATCCTACGTCAAAGATTTTGACCCCACTCAAGTTCCTAAATAAACAGGATGCGTAATAACATAAAAATGATGCAAGTCTTTCAAGTTTCCTTAAATGAAAACTCTGAAACAGACAGAGGATGGAACTAACACTACATAATACTGATTAGTTTGTTATATACTGTGCACGCACTCTACAAGCGCATATTTAAAACATAATTTGCATGGTTCATAGCCTGGAATTACGAACAAATTGTACGTGGTATTTTTATCTGTGTCATAGTTTATCACAATGTAAAACAAGGCAACAGGAACAACAGTCGGTGTTAATTATTAACCTTAAATTGGTCATTTCCGAATACCTTTTATTGATGTTCAGCTTGCGCAGCACTCTGAGTTCTAAACTTTGACCTTATTATTCATTTATCATTTTGATTGTTGAAGGAAGTGAATTAGAAATAAAGACAATCCTTAATAAGCAAAGGCTCAGATTTCTTTGATCCACCTTGTAGATAAAAGTATGGAAATAGTTTCTCTGTGAAAGACTCTCCTGCGAAAGAGTAAATATGCAAATTCTCATTCACGTCAAAAAACGAGACTCTGCCTTCTTCGTAGTCCAGGTACACTCCTATTAACCTTGGCCTAGGGAAAAGGTAGAGAACTGTGGAGGGTGTGGAGTGAACTTTATAGACCGAAAAGCTTTTTCCTATGGCAAAGAATCCATTTTCTCTTTTCAAAAAAACCCTTCCTGATCTGTTTACAGTTTCCTTGGCAACACCCACATCCCAGTTGTTTCTCAGGCCCACTTGGACTTCCCAGTAGTGTCGGCCAGAGGTGAAGCCCTTCGTCCCAAACACCATGGGACAGTCAAACCTCCCAGAGTCATCAGACGAGGGGCTTGCTGCTCTGAAGTACTTCAGACGTTTCCCAGATTCTGTCACCACAAGGCCCTCGCCAGCAGTGGAAGGGTTAAAGGTGACTGACTCTTAAAGGAAAAAAGACATATGGTCAGTTACATATATATATTAATAGTTATGTTGAACTTTCATATCTTGGAAAGTAAACTAAATATAAATCTATGAACTCACCTTTATATTGCCTCATCCTGGTCAGTTCTGAGAGGAAAAAAAATCACAGTAAGGCATAAGTGTAAAATCACATACTTGTACTCTGAGATTTGCATCAACAAATTAAAAGAAAACTCTTCTTCAATGGCAGCCAAGAATATGAATATACAGACAATTCTATGGGTGGTGTAACTTGTGCCAAATCAATCACATGCTAGTGTGAACGCAGGAGAACAACTACAACTACGTGCAGTAGCATGAGCAGATATCGCCGTGTTGGTGTTGTTCCTGGATTAAAACTACAGAGTTTTGCATTGTAGAAACACCATCACACTAAACACCAGACTCTAACCCTAACCGTAACCCCTGTAACCCTAACCTTACTGTGATATCCCAGCAATGTGATTGGTCACTTGGAGCATTGAACCTGGACCAACATTAGTTTTAATGATCCAAGAACAAAACCAACACAGGGATATCAGATGCACCACAGGTAATACTGGGATTAAATGAAATAAACTCTTCATTATTCATCCCACAGTTAGCGAATAGCTGTTTCACTTGCCCAAACATAAAGATGTGGAGTACTCATAACTATGTAAATGTAATCTGGCAATGTCATCACATTTGCTGAGTTGAGCATTTTGACCATTGCCATCTTGCTGTTTTGAAAGAGGTTGTCACAGTTGAAGGTTGGATCTAACTGAGAAGTCAAGGGACAGTGAATGCTTAAAGAGTAACTCCCTGTCAGTCAAAAAGACCACCTCTTTAAAATTTATGTATTTAATAAAATGTAAATGTAGAGACTAAGACTATAAAAGTCTTTAGGAAAAGCTTTACAAAGGTCATTCATCATGTAAGAGGTCATGTTTCCATAAATGTCAAGTGAACTTTTTGTAACCAGACAGACTCGCCCTCTGCTGGCCATTTAAAAAAAATGCAGGTAAAAGGAACTTCTGCTTTGGCTGTTTAGTTGCATGTCATTTCTTCTAAATAATCCCATGCAGCCATTCATTTCCTTCCATTTATCCAGTTCAGGCTCACTGTTGGGCTAGAGTTAATCTGAGCTGTAATGGGGCTGGAGCACGACCTATACAATTGTTCATTCACACCTACAGCCAATTACCAGTTAACCCCAATGCTGTGGGAGGAACCTGGACTACACAGGCACAGTGAGAATATGCAAGCGTCACACAGAAAGACACCAGCCAGTGGATTAGAAGACAGGA